ACGGTTTGTCGTAAGGACGTCTTACGGGAGTTTCATACTTCCCGTTTTGTAGTTCATCCAGGTGGTACCAAGATGAATCACAATTTAAGACGTTAGTATTGGTGGAACGGGATGAAGAAAGATGTTACACAGTTTGTGGCTAGATGCCTTACCTGTCAGCAGGTGAAGGCCGAGCATCAGAGGCCAGCAGGTTTGTTGCAACCATTACCTGTAGCGCAACGAAAATGGGAGCATATCGCTATGGATTTTGTGACAGGTTTTCCAAGGTCACGGAGGGGCAATGAGGCCGTATGGGTCATCATTGACAGATTGACCAAGACGGCTCACTTTTTGCCTATTAAGGCAACAGACGATGCAGAGAAGCTTGGTGTATTTTATGTGAAAGAGATTGTAAGGTTACATGGAGTTCCTGTAAACATTGTGTCAGATAGGGATGCTAAGTTCACTTCAAAGTTCTGGGAAGGACTTCAAGCAGCGTTTGGTTCAGCGTTGCATCTTAGTACGGCATTCCATCCACAGACAGACGATCAGTCAGAGCGTACTATCCAGATTTTGGAGGAGATGCTTCGGGTATGTGTGCTTGACTTGGGTGGTAGTTGGGAGGATCACCTTCCACTTATTGAGTTTGCCTACAACAACAGTTATCAAGCGAGTATCCAGATGGCTCCATTTGAGGCGTTGTATGGTAGACCTTGTAGGTCTCCTGTTTGTTGGACTGAGGTAGGTGAGACAGCCGCCTTAGGACCCGACATTGTACTCGAGACTACTAAGAAGATTAAGTTAATAAGACAGAGGTTACTTACAGCTCAGAGCCAACAGAAGAGCTATGCGGGTAAGCGGAGACGACCGTTATCCTTTGAGGTAGGAGACCACGTTTTTCTACGGGTTTTTCCACGGAAGGGATTGATGAGATTCGGGAAAAATGGCAAGTTGTCGCCACGATTCATTGGACCATTTGAGATTTTGGACCGAGTAGGAGAGGTTGCCTACAGACTTGCTTTGCCACCACAGATGGACAGAGTTCACAATGTCTTTCATGTATCGATGTTACGGAAGTACGAACCGGATCCATCTCACATTTTGAGTTGGGTTGATGTGGATATTGATGAGGATGTTTCCTACGAGGAAGGACCAGTTCAGATCCTTGACACACAACAGAAGGTGTTGAGGAACAAGACGATACCAATGGTGAAAGTCCTTTGGGGACACCACGGAGTCGAAGAAGCTACTTGGGAGCTCGAACAAGAGGTTCGGTCTAAGTACCCAGCGTTGTTTTCTTCCTCAGGTATGTCTTGATTTCGGAGACGAAATCTTTTAAAGTTGGGGAGAATGTAATGTTTAAGTTTTTATTTTTATTTTTATATATATGTGTGTTAGTGGAGGGACCCACAATTTTGTTTTAAAGTGGTCATTAAGACCACATTTGTGTTTTTGTTTTCTGCATCTCACTCTCTCTTTCCCAGCTGCCCGCTTCCACCTTCCTCTCTGTTTTCTTTTTTCTTTTTCCATTTCAAGGTTTTAATCCTTGATTGCTCCCTCATTTCTTTGTGTTTTTAAGTATCGTTTGAGGCAAAACAAAGCCCGCGACGAGCTCTACGCGCTCATACAAGCAATTTCAGTTTTTTGTCTTCCTAGGGGCTTCGAATTTAGAGACCCAATTTCTAGGGTTTTGTCTATTTTGAGGTAGGGGCATCTTAATCCACTCTAGTCTTGTTCTATTGTGAATTTTACCTCCATGTTGTATTAAATATGCTTAATTTAGAGTTAATTATATCTATGATGGTATTAATGATGTCTAGAGGGTTTTCGCGATCTTGAATATGGTTGGTTCATGTGCAAATTATATTTAGTTGTTGATTTACTATGTTTACTATGTGCTAGCATGCTGAAATTGATGTATGAGAGTATGCTTATTTAAATTGCGCCAAATTTCCCAATTCATGATGTTGAGCTCACATATATATATACATGCACATGCTTAAATGTATTTTGTTGTATCTTAATGTGTTAATAATTACTTGGGAGATGTTGAACATGTTGAATGTTTAATTTTATGATGGAAAATTTTAAATACCATGACATTGAATGTATGGAACATATATACATGCACATACCATTGGGTTTGCATGAAATGGGAGAAATTGTTCTTGAAATAAATATGGGGAATTTCAGGGAAGTGTTTTTGATAAAATGGTTTTATGCAAAACCCGGTCGCTGCGGGGTTACCAACGGGCCGGAGGTTAATATAGCCTAGAGGGGACTAGGGAGTCGCCCTAGCGTGGTTGAGCTAGCTGGGCCCCATAATGACGCCGCGGGGTTACCAAGGGTCAGGGACACTAGCCAATCCTCCTTTCGTGTCGCGGTGGGGTTACCAAAGGGCGAGCTGTATTAACGTTTGAAAGTGATAATTTTGAGAATGAAAATGGGGAGTGTCATTGACATGCATTGCATTTCATGTCATTGCATTGCATTGTTTATACTTGGAATTGACTTGTATGTTGTATTTGATCCCCTACGTTGTATGATCCCTATCTCCCATTGGCCTATGCTTTGCTTGAATTCACAAAGACACAAGATTTGTGTCTTAAGTGTCACCTACTGAGCATATAGCTCACCCTACTATTTATACATTTTTTTTTCAAGTCTTGGAAAAGAACCGGTGAACGACAACCCACCTCAAGCCTGAGCGATACTAGAAGCTCCCTTTTGTGTCTTTTGTATATTTCCCATTATTTTTGCAAAGCACTAAAAGTATAAAGGTATATATGTATATTTTGCAAAACTTTGTCATGTAACCTTGTTGATGAATGGGAAGGATAATTTTAGTTAAAGTAATTATCGGTGTTATTTGATTATGTATGATCATATACTGTTGCCGTGAATTCGGAATTTGAGTCATGATAGGTTAAAAATGAATTTAAACAGGGTATGGTAGGCCTATTTTTAGGGGAGGTTATGCCGAATTTTTTGTAAAATTCTTGGCATCAGCTAGGGTCGTTACACTTGATAGTATTTTGATGTACCTTGAAACCATGTTGGCATTTTTGTAATGAATGGGAAATGATGGTAAATTTTGTGACAATTCATTTTGGCAAAGTCCCGAGAACATGTAATTTGAGCAATTGTTTCGGTCGGCTAATCATCTCCATTAGCTAACCGAACCCCACTTTTAGCCGGCCAACGAAGGGCCATCAGCCGACTGACCATGTCCCTTTGACTTGTATCTTTGACCCCTCCTTCCAGACTGTGTTTTTAATTACCTTGGACCTTAGAATGATTTTGTGTACCACCCATGAGCATAAAAAAGGACGGTATTGCCCTTAGTTGACCTCGGTTTGAGTAAAGACCCGCCTAACGGTTTAGACCTACGAGTTCAGGTCGTTACAATGATGGCCTAAGTTTTGGACCTAAATATGGTTAAATGGACAAAAATGTATTCATACTAGCAGTGTATTGGAACTTCTATACTTTCTTTTTAAGTACTTAGTGTTGGAACTTAGCATTGATTGAATATAGGTCATGAAATCCTTCATAAAGAATATGATAACGACTGAAAAAATATTCATTGTTATGTTTAGAGTTCAAAAAGTTGCATTGTTAACACAAAAATAAATAAATAAATAAATTCCACCATAAAGAGAACAATTTTCCATTTTTATTTCAAATTTCTCTAAAGTACGAGTAGTAGTTAGAACTTAGATTTTTACAAATAGTAGTAATAGTATTATATACTGGAATGGAACTTTGATGTGCAAGTTTTTTTACATAAATGTCAACATCCATTGGAATTTTGCAATAACATATTTTTTTTCTTTTCCAAATTACTACAAAAAATACTTAATCCAAATTCATATTCAATCCCTCAAACTTATTTCCTACTTAACAAGGATATTGAAACTTAACAGTATCTTCTCTACCTCTTAATAGTAACCATAAGAATTTAAATGCCCGTTAAGACAAAACAAATGGGTGCATGTGTTTTTATCTTGATCTGGGATCATAAAAAAGATGAATGTTTTATCGATTAGGAAGAAGGGTGATTGTTTATCAATGGACCTTTAGCTTGCATGATCTCTTTTTTGAAAAGAAGGTCGAGAGTTTGAGAACCCTGGTATGATCACTTCCTCGAATAGAAGGTTAAAAGTTGGAGAACACAACAGTAAGTGCTTGTTTTAACTTAGGAAAAGTAGGTTGTTTGCTGTAACTTCCCCAAAAAATTAAAGAAAGGTGATTTTATGATATATATTCATATATATATATATATATATATATAGCCATAAGATCCTTTGACTGCAGGAATGAATTTTTAACAGCCATCAGTGGAATGTCATAAACTATAGACAGATTCTTCAATCACTTGTGTCCCCGTCCATCCATTACCACACTCCTTGAAACCCGTAGACAGGTGCCAAAAATGGCAATGTATGACTTGGTCTCTCGCCATGAAATGAAAACCATCTCTCTCTCTTCTCTGTCTCTCTCTGTCTCTCTCTCTCTCCCTCCAATCAAATCCTTACGTACATTCATTTTTCCAAAGTATGCGGAGGAAGCTTGATGGCTGATCACAAGTTCTTCCTCTGCATTCCTCCAACGGTCTAATTCCAATGTACCACTCAGTTTAGACATACCTTTCCCTCTCTTCAACATACATTGACGATGATCACAAGCCCATCAACACAGGCTGAGTTGTTCTTCAAACTAACCTCTTCTATTTCTAGTCACATCTTCAATAACAACTCTTAATAATAATCACCATAATAAAACTAGCAAGTGTGTGTACTAGGTAAATTTGGTTTTTTACCTTTTGCCCATCTGTTTATGTAAGTTTTTTTAATAAGCTTACATATTTTTTGGATTCAAAAACCCAACAAAAATATATAATTGCTCCAAAGCACTACTACATTCTTGTGTTCTTGTTGCAAAATGATTGATGGGAAAGGAAAGAACCATTGATAAAGAGAGAGAGTTTCGTTTGAGAGATCAAAAGAATAACACATAAAATGGCGTCATTGTCAAGCCAACCATCCAAGAAGGCGATACGTAGCCCTGGGGGTGGCTCTAACTCTCAGAACAACCGCAACTCAAGTGGCCAAACTGTGAAATTCGCCAGGAGAACATCAAGTGGTCGATATGTTAGTCTTTCGAGGGAAGACCTAGACATGTCAGGGGAGATATCCGGAGATTATATGAACTACACGGTCCACATTCCTCCCACCCCGGACAACCAGCCAATGGACACCTCCGTGGCTACCAAGGCTGAAGAGCAATATGTGTCTAATTCCCTCTTTACCGGGGGGTTTAACAGCGTCACACGTGCTCATCTCATGGACAAGGTCATTGAGTCCGAGGTGACTCATCCTCAAATGGCCGGATCCAAGGGCTCCGCATGCTCCATGCCTGCTTGTGATGGCAAGGTCATGAAGGATGAGAGAGGAAAAGATATAACCCCTTGTGATTGCAGGTAAGTGATTTCGCAATTTTGTTGCATGTACACATGCTACATTGCTAGTATTAGATTTTCTACGATAATTGATTTGATATGCCGCTTAGATGGATTGTCTAATAATTAAGGGCTGTTTTGATAAAAGAAACTAAAATTTGAATGTGCTTGCAGGTTCAAAATTTGTAGGGATTGTTTTATGGATGCCCAGAAAGATACTGGTTTGTGTCCAGGGTGCAAAGAGTCTTACAAGGTGGGCGACTACGAGGAAGATGCAACAGATTATGGTGGAGCATTGTCATTGCCAGCCCCTGATCGTTCCAAAGGAGAACGCGGTATGATAAAGAGGAACCAAACCGGAGAATTTGATCACAACAAGTGGCTGTTTGAGACACAGGGTACTTACGGCTATGGGAATGCTTATTGGCCTCAAGACGAGTATGGAGACGATGGCGAGGATGGGGGAGGAGCTATGATGGATTTAAATGATAAACCTTGGAAGCCCCTAAGTCGAAAAACGCCAGTACCATCAGGCATCATTAGCCCTTACAGGTTCGTTTCTGACCAATAAATATGTTGTGTTTCAAGCAATCAAATACATTAAACTTACTGAGCCATCTGATCTACAGTATTACTTTACCTCAAAAAGTCCAGATTGAGATTGTACTGTATCTGCTGCACTTTTTGAGTTTAACTCAAGTTTCACCTTTAACTGATGAGGTTATAGAATGATTTTTATTTAGTGCATTTAATGATCACCCAGGTTGTTGATCGTGGTTCGGTTGGTAGTGTTGGTATTTTTCTTGCATTGGAGAATAAAACATCCGAATAATGATGCTATATGGCTGTGGTTTATGTCAGTTGTTTGTGAGCTATGGTTTGCCTTTTCCTGGATCCTAGATCAAATTCCCAAGCTCTGCCCTGTCAACCGTTCAACCGACCTTGAGGCTCTCCGAGACAAATTTGATCTTCCCTCGCCATCCAATCCCACAGGGCGCTCTGATCTCCCCGGTTGTGACATGTTTGTGTCCACTGCTGATCCTGAAAAGGAGCCACCCCTAGTCACCGCAAACACCATCCTGTCTATCCTGGCAGTCGATTACCCGGTGGAGAAGCTAGCTTGTTACATATCAGATGATGGAGGTGCTCTCCTCACCTTCGAGGCAATGGCTGAGGCTTGCAGCTTCGCTGACTTGTGGGTCCCCTTCTGTCGGAAACATGACATTGAGCCCAGGAATCCTGAAGCCTATTTCGCCCTCAAGGGCGACCCAACCAAGAATAAATTGAGGTCTGATTTTGTCAAGGATAGGAGAAGGGTGAAGAGGGAGTATGACGAGTTCAAGGTGAGGATCAATGGCCTCCCTGATTCGATAAGAAGGAGATCGGACGCCTTCAATGCTAGGGAAGAGATGAAAACCATTAAGCACATGAGAGAGAGTGGAGCTGACGCTCTGGAGCCTATCAAAGTCACAAAGGCCACTTGGATGGCTGATGGCACCCACTGGCCTGGAACTTGGGCTAGTCCTTCCGGTGAACATGCCAAAGGTGATCATGCTGGCATTCTTCAGGTACACAACATAATACCTTTAAGTATTGTTTTTCTTGCCATCTCTTGCATATAATACAGTGATCAAATAGTCTTCAAATGTGCACACAGGTGATGCTGAAGCCGCCAAGTCCTGACCCTCTAATGGGAGAAGCAGATGACAAGATCATAGACTTCTCAGACGTGGATATACGCCTCCCCGTGTTCGTGTATGTCTCGAGAGAGAAAAGGCCCGGTTATGATCATAACAAGAAAGCCGGTGCCATGAATGCCCTCGTCCGAGCATCAGCTGTATTGTCCAATGGCCCATTTATACTCAACCTGGATTGTGACCACTACATCTACAACTGCAAGGCTGTCCGTGAAGGGATGTGCTTCATGATGGACCGAGGTGGAGAAGACATCTGCTACATCCAATTCCCTCAGAGATTTGAAGGCATTGATCCCTCTGATCGATATGCCAATCACAACACCGTCTTCTTTGATGGCAATATGCGTGCACTTGATGGCGTTCAGGTAACAATACTTCATCCTTCCCTTCCCTTCCCTTCATTTTATCTCATGGGACGCAACAAAGATTGTATAACTAACTATCAAACACTCAAATTGTTCCTTCAATAGTGAAATTCAGTTCATTTCACCTGATCACAGCATGATGTGAATTGTGAATGCTCTTGCAGGGACCGGTTTATGTGGGAACAGGCTGCATGTTCAGGCGGTTTGCGCTGTATGGTTTTGATCCACCGCAGCCTGATAAGTTGTCCCAGAAGAATGCTGAGGGACAGAGCTTGTCAGCCACGGATTTCGATCCTGATCTTGACGTCAATCTCTTGCCCAAGCGGTTTGGGAATTCTACAGTGCTGTCTGCGTCCATACCAGTAGCTGAATTCCAAGGCCGCCCACTCGCTGATCATTCTGCAGTCAAGTTTGGACGACCTCCCGGCGCTCTCAGGGTCCCCCGTGATCCCCTTGATGCTGCCACCGTAGCTGAAGCCGTCTCCGTCATCTCTTGTTGGTAAATCTTCCTCTCCTAAATTCAAAATGTCCAAACAACGACAACCAAGCCTTTTTTTTTTTTTTTTTTTCCAATTACAAGTCTTCTTTCCAAGTACTTGGCTCTAATTCACAAGTCCCATGATGACCAAACAATAAGAGAATACAATACATCTATATATGATTCTTTATCAGGCAAAATGATCAAATTGGCCTTACCAACACAGGTACGAGGACAAAACTGAGTGGGGTGACCGTGTGGGTTGGATTTATGGCTCAGTGACAGAAGATGTGGTCACAGGCTACCGGATGCACAACCGAGGGTGGCGCTCAGTCTACTGCATCACCAAGCGTGACGCCTTCCACGGGTCAGCTCCAATTAATCTCACTGATCGGCTTCATCAGGTGCTCCGGTGGGCTACAGGTTCGGTCGAGATTTTCTTCTCCAGAAACAACGCTCTCCTCGCCAGCAGACGCCTCAAAATACTCCAGCGCATGGCTTATATCAATGTTGGTGTCTACCCTTTCACCTCCATGTTCCTTATAGTCTACTGCTTCCTCCCCGCGCTCTCCCTCTTCTCCGGTCAATTCATCGTGCAAAATCTAGATGTCAAGTTCCTAGCCTACCTACTCACCATCACCATTTGCCTCATCTCCCTAGCCATCTTGGAAGTGAAATGGTCTGGGGTGGCATTGGAAGACTGGTGGAGGAATGAACAGTTTTGGCTCATTTCGGGAACTAGTGCTCACTTGGCTGCAGTGGTGCAAGGTCTACTGAAGGTGATTGCAGGTATTGAGATCTCTTTCACACTCACTACCAAGTCTAGTGCAGAGGATGAGGAGGATATATACGCGGACTTGTACCTCGTGAAATGGACTTCCTTGATGATTCCACCAATTGTTATCGCCATGATCAATATAATTGCAGTTGCAGTTGCATTCTCAAGGACAGTCTACAGCACCGTGCCACAGTGGAGTAAGTTCATCGGTGGGACATTCTTCAGCTTCTGGGTGCTTGTTCATTTGTATCCTTTCGCCAAGGGTCTGATGGGGAGGAGGGGAAAGACACCCACAATCGTGTTCGTCTGGTCGGGTCTCATAGCGATCACACTTTCACTGCTCTGGGTAGCCATTAACCCACCAAGAGGAAACTCAGAAAATGTTGCAGGGGGGTCATCTTTCCAGTTCCCGTGAAGTGTAGAAAAGAAATGGTTGGTTTTCTTTCTTTCTTTCTTGTTTTTGTTTTTGTTTTTCAATCTTGTTATGAAGAGAAACTTGTTGATTCGATGGCTATATATATTGGAATGTATGGTTGATGGAAATGCAGAATATTTTGGGGGAAGAAAAGAGGGCTAGTTGAGAATCCCTGCAAATTTCTATCGAAGACTAAAAAGGAACCTGATATGGTGGCAAGTTTCTCCTACTAAAGATACAGAGAAATTGATATTATATTTTGTAAATCTAACATTATTCATTGAATATGTAAGCAACAATAGGACATTCCTTTACACAGTTTACTGCTCATTTTTGCCATACTCTTTCTCTCTTTCAATGAAAATTATTTTTGTCTAAATTTTTATTTACCTTTTTCCTGTCTACCTAGTAATTCTGTAGTATCTTGCATATTTTCCAGTAAATATATATATATATATATATAGATATATATATATATATATATATACTTGTTTCAGTTCTCCTGAGCAAAAGAAACATCTTGATTGGCGGAAAACTCCCAACACCATTTCTCTCCCTCAAGTTTTTGCTTTCAACCAAATTAAGGAATAAGAACGGAGGAGAGCCAGAGGAAGAGGGAAAGTTGAATACAGGGGATAAAAAGTAGATAAAAATAAAAATAAAAATAAAAATATTGAATTTTCCCGGAGACCCTTTTTTTCTAGGCCTAAGAAAGAAGTGTAAATGATGTCCCAAGGAAAATGAATTTTGTCCATTTTCTGGTGTTTCAAAGAGACATTAGAAACACATCAGAATCTGCAAATTACAAAAGTGAGCTGGCATATCCATGCCAATCAAATAGGTAACAATCCTTCAATGTATAAACTCAGGTCCTGTCCATTGCCCTCATCTGGAAGAAGAAAAAGAATAAAAACAATGGCTGTTTTCCAGACTGGTCCTCAACCTGGAAGAGTTTATTCCAGAATTTCAGGATCCATGACTAAACAAACGGCAAGAAACTCATATATCGGGGAAATAATAATAATAATTCCCACGTTTTCCCTTGGAAATAAGGGGATCATGGTACAGCATTTGGCGACAAACTACTTCACTAGTAACCTTATTCCATTTCAGTATAACAAAAACTGCAGTAAAATTAACAGACTAGCAGGAAAAGCTTCAAATTGATGTATGGTTTGCAATGTCTTAAAACTGCGGCAAGAATGACGAGCATAGAAGCATCAATGAACATCAAAAGCAGAGAATATCAAGGGGTAGAAGCTTAGCTAAGTACAACCTAGTTGGCATCACACAGACACGTGCAACCAAAAACTAAAATTCAAACATATTAGAAGAGCTCCTAGGTGAATCCAAGATGCAATAATATTAGGTTTATTATCCATGAAATTAAAGTGAATTAGAGAATGCCTGCCTCGACAATTCATTTACATACACAGAGGATCACCGAAACACTTAATACTACTGTTAGCCAGAAGGACAAAATAGCCTCATTATCTTGAGGATAAAAAGATATGAAAAGCCACCGTGCATTAGTAGGGGAAATTTCTGTATGTCAGAAAAACAAAATTGATCAATTTTATCTTGCATCATTGTTGGAAAAATCTTTATCACATCATTTCAAGACATAAAACCATCCTCAAGATGTCATTGCAGTATTGGAGTCCTTGATGAAAATGATTGTAGAGATGTAAAACAGTCGGACTAAGAAATTAAATGGCCTGAATGCCCTGAATACCCATATATAAAAAAAATTTCCAACCTTCTAAAAGATAAAACATAAGGTTCCAAGACAGGCTACCTTTGTGTTGGATGATCCAGCCATAATAATTTATAACAAAAGCTAGACACAGGTACAAAAACTAAAAGGCAACTAAAGACATACCCAACTGGATAAGTTAGCAACACATCGATAAGTTTCACATGTAAGCATGGACTGCGGGAGTAAAACTTGCATCAACATCTGAATTTGGCGCCTGCCTTTCTTCCAAAAAGATTCTCTAATTCTCTTGAATGAACAAAAGGGAGAAATATCTGCACATGGAGTAATATACGATCATCTACACATTCTACAGATCAGACTGCTCGAATGGTACACGAACAAACAGCTGGCCGTGCAGAGTGACAACAGCAGACGTCTGATGAGGATCAATCCTAGAAGGTAGACTGACAACCTGCAAAACAAACCAACTTCCAGTATCATAAACCGGATGAACATCCTCAAGCCTACATAATGTGTCTATTTTAGTAGGAATTCAACTACATTTTTTTTTTTTTTTTTTATTAGTAGGATTTCAACTATTAGAATAATAAAAGGTTATATTATTAAAAATATATTTTGTAATTAATTAGGATGATATTAGGACTAGATAAGTCAGTTATCAACCTTTTGTGGTGGTTATTAGCAGTTCTTTTTGTAATTACATATCCAATGGATGTCGCACAGCCTTCACAAGAGAATATATCAGTTTTTCAGATTAGCGCTTGTGTTCATAGGAGGTTCCTGGCTCCTGCCAACCGCTTCAACCTTATTCTCACTTCTCAAACTCCTTTTTCATATTTTTGGGATAAAGGTAAGTAAAAATTGCTGAAGTGGACTCTTCTCCCTTATTCTGACTCTAGTTCATTTGGCTATATTTTAGGGAAAATGTGTAATAATAATGGGTACAAGAGCAGTCGCTGCTGGCCGATGGCTTCACCACTTGACATCTTATAGTTGATGCATAAGAATTTGCAAAACATAAAGGGACTTGTTTTGAAGGCAGTGGAAACAAATCATTGGTTTAATGAAGCCATAACACAAATCAGCACAACGTGAAGGAAGCAAATTTTGATAATAAAAGAAAAATCTCACCAAAGTTGAATTTTTGCTAGAAGAAAAAAAAACAATTAAAGGTGGATGTGATTCGCTTAATCAACACGCTATTTTGGTAAAAATCCTTTCCCCGACAGCAGTAATTTGAAGCCTTGTGTTACATGGACTCTCCCGTTTGCTCCAACGTACCAAGTCGACATGACACTACACGGATATGGGTATGGGATGTCCAACACATGAATCCAAATCAGATATAACAATCCACCACATGTAATAATGGAAGAAGAAGAAAGGGCCAAATTTTGATTAAAAATAGAAAAAAGAAGGCTTTCCTACTTTTCACAAAGACAGATGAAAACCTTTTTGTGTCCTTTTAAATTAATATCATCATTGAGTATATCCATAAATAATAATGTCATAGAGCCTGTGCTAGATGGACTCTCCCATTTGCACCAAGGTACCGTGTCAACACGACACTACACGAATATGGCCATGGGATGTGTCCAACACATGAATCCAAATCAGACACGTGGATCCTCTACATGTAATGATGGAAGAAGAAAAGACCAGAAAGAAAAGGGCTTCCTACTTTTCACGTACAGAAATAAATGAAACCCTATTTTTTCATACCTCTTTTAATTTAAATAATAATCAAGTATATCCTGAAATAATAATATTATATTAACATATGATGTATTTAAATGTGCAGTACATGATTGCGTGCTCTTTTGAACACAGTTTCAAGCCCAGACTATGTTTTGTAAGAGTCGGGGGTGTTCAGGCTCGTCAGGAAGGTACCTAGACAAACATCACATCCACTACATGTACTCCAATTCATGTAAATGGGGATGGGATAATACGGAACCAATTGTAATAGGAGTCTTTAATTTACTAACATGAAGTAAGGTGTGTTATTAGATATATTTTTAGTATTTTATTAGGATAAACTTAGGATTAGATAAGTCAGTTATCGGTTATTCAGCGGCAGTTATTAGCAGATGTTTCTTGTAATTATATATCCTGTCGATGGCATATGGCCTTCACAAGGGAAGATATCATTTTTTTCAGAATAATGCTTGTGGTCTTATGGGCTCTTCTCCTAGATTCTCTCTTTTTATTTCAATTTGTCATATTTATATAACCGATGCTAAAGCTGTCAAATTGAAATAAATGGTTTTTCAAAGAACTAATCCAGTCTTCTTTAAATTTCAGGGTGATGTCACCTGGTGGGAACTCAGTAACCAAATAAAACCACCAATATTTTTGCCTTTATTTTATTTTTATTTTTTTCCTTGTAGCTATCTATGATTTCCCATGGAAACCAGAAACCAGATTTTACAAAATTCAACTTGGTGAGATCATTACACTATATAAAATGTACTAATCTCAAACAAGCACAACAAAGGGGTATAATTGTGAAAGGGCATGGAATATGTCTAAAAAGTCTTTGATGAAATCATAGTTTGCATCAACCAACCATGCATGCAGCAGTATGAGCTTTAATTATATCAGTGCTCCTTAATATAGTTTCAGGAAAGAAAAAACAAAACAAAACAAAACCTTTTTGAATGGAGTGACACCCCAAGGATTATCCAGCTGCTCTGGTTGACCAGATATTACCAAGCGCCCAGCTGGATCAGATTGTACACGCACCTGATTTCACCAAACAACAAGATCTTTATACAGTAGCAAAGAATGAAAGCTGTGTATAGTAGCCACAACAAGATAATAATCACAAAAGATTATAGTGGATCAGCTACCTGCTTCGCAACTTATGATTTTCAAAGTTTGAAATTGTAAGCAGCAGTCAGAAAGCTTTTTTATATTGACTTGTATGGTAATTCAGTCTAATGTAGAACAAAAAATCCAGCATAATTTTAGGGGTACATAATTTAAGCTCATGTAGACAACAACCAAATGTTGCAGACAGCATTTCTCACATTGAACGTTTTGAATGTAAAAGACAACCAGATTAGATGATTGCAATCATTCTCTGAATTTGGGCTATGTTTGGGTTCAAAACCCAAGTAGTTTGGTGATTATGTATATTCCTAACACCGGATATATGATTCAAGTTATCTTCTTTGTTGGTTTATTACACATTCCAGATGGCTGCCATATATGGGCTGAAAACTATCTACAGACTTAGAACAGACTTTAAAGATACACTTCACATGCAGACTTAATGTTCACCTCTCAAATCTCAATTCAGACTTTCGAAGGCTGTAAAAAGTTAATAATAGAGAAAAGAGGACTTCAGAAATTTTCTACTTACCTCCTCACGCAAAAGACCTGGAACTAAAGCATACACCTCAAAGCAGTCTTTCTGTATAGTCAATTTTGTAAAACTAGTTAAATCTTCATGGTGAATATACTATGATGTTGTATGAGTAATGCAAGAGAGACTTACAGTTTTTTGCACATTAATCTTTACCCAATCTGCAGGAGGCCCGATATCAACAACCATTGTGTCCAATCTGCCAAAAAATAAGTAAATAAATAAAAAGGAAAAAAATGTAGCAGCTTCATGGACAAGCAGTGTTATCAAAGGCCCAAAGCACACTAAAGTGCTAGAGGTCCTTTGCAGCGTAGGCGCAAGGTGAGGCGCACGCCTGAGTGAAGCGAAGAGCACAATTGAAAAATTAAATTACGATTAAAGCATATTCATACTCCATATTAAAGGCACAAATGTTGTCAAAGGTGCACCTCGGCACACAACAGGTGCAAGTGTTGCGTCTGTATGAGCCTTGAGCCTAGGCGCACCTTTAACAACACTGTGGACAAGGAAACTTAAAATTTCTTTCATCCATTGTAAGGATAACCAATTAATGAGTTGGGAATGTCTTCAATTTTACAAAGTAAAGACAGATTTTCTTTTTTCCATTTTCATTTTCCTTTTCCAATTAAGTTGTGGTTCGACTTATAATGGGAAGCGATATGAACATTTCTATCACCAAAGGGCCTTACAAGGAAATTCATCCATAAGGGGCATAAGCAATACAAACAATAATAACACACACTATTATATCAAAAGGAATTTTTCAAGTTGGTCGTATTCTGAGAAAAAAATTTCATAAAACTCGAGAGGTAGTATTCGCATTAGAAAGGATAATATATACATTATCAAACATTGTAGTTTAAAAAATAAATAAATAAATAAAATAAGGAAAAGAGTGACCAAGGAACAGCCTATCAGTTATTGGGCAAAAAAGTTATCAGAAAGTAAACCAATAAACCTTCATAACAAAATAGAGGATTATATGTAAATGTAATAAAATGAAAAACCAAGAGGAAATCTGCTACATATATAGTATTAGGTCACTGGGATCTGATTTGCCAAATCAACAGAACCAAGGAACATAGGAAACCAGGAAGTAACAAGGTATATTAACTGTGGCTTTGATGCTTTCAAGCGTGCAACTTTGACAGCACGCTCAACAGGAGATGACTTTTTGCGCTTTAGCAAACCTGGATCATCAATAAGAAAAAAGTTTCAGAAAGGAGAGCCCTTAAAGCGAGCTGAAGTTGTTGGCTCCTACAAAAAGCCATACCAATGCTTTTAAGTTGTTTTTCACGCTTTGGTGTAGATGTTGAATTCTTATCCTACAGAAACAAAAATATTATTTTATTGGATGAAAAAAGTAAACAGTACTAGCATGGGGTGGCAAAGAAAATATAGAAAAATGAAGAAACCAAAATAAATAAATAAAATCAAAACTAAGGACTTCTCAACAAACCTTGATAATTGGGTCCCCAACCTCACCATTACCAAGAAGACGCTGAGAATGCCAACCCTGCATTGCACGAGCTGCAGCATCCCTTCTTGCTCTACCTGATCCTGAAGCTTGATTGTGGCCCACCTGCATTAAATAAGTTTGTAAGGATGGTTGCATATGGATTTATCACTGTATACTTTTATTGATAAACTGGATTTATCTCTGTATATTGTACTATAATATGTTAGTCTTGATATCAGTTAAACCACAAAAAGGAAGTATAGGGAGAGTAGAGAACTTTTAGTATTTAATTACATATAGAACCACTCGGATTGTTTCCTTTACAACTCTACAATCATGACTATCACCAATATGTTGCATAGACGAAAAGGGACCCACTATGGACATATTTGGTAATTCATTCACTACCAATGCAATAAAAAAATATTAAAACCCACCCTCTTAAAAAGTTAGATTCCCAAAAAGGGATGTTTAATTTGGGACGGAGGAAGTGTATAGGAAGAGAAATGGACAACCATACAAAGGACAGTTGCCAAACTGGTAGCATCAACACAAAACACCAATCATGGACAATTTATTTTCCTACAAACAAAGTGATGCAGCGGCAACAGTAGAGACGAGATAGAGAAAAGGGGGATGAAATTGAGCAAACAGATTAGAGAGGAGCATGTGGATGAGGTTCAGCCTTTCGGTTTTGTATCATACATATACCTATTATAGGCGTATGGCAGAGGATAGATATTCTTTGTTTTTGTATTTGTAGTTGGGAATTTTTATTTTTAGACCCATTTTTGGCATGAAATAGAGCAAACAGATTGGAGAGGAGAGAAACCTGAGGGAGAGAGAAAGCACGGGAATCTCAATATCATAATATCAACCCAAAATTACTCCAATCCAATACATGGGCCCATATATATAGGCAACCCAAAGAACCCTAATGAAGCGGTAATTATAATATGCCAAAAATGGGTCTAAAAATAAAATATTCCCAACTACAAATACAAAAACAAAGAATATCTATCCTCTACCATGCACCTATAATAGGTATATGAATGATACAAAACCGAAAGGCTGAACCTCATCCACATGCATGGTAAAAAGTAAGGAAAAATTCAACAGATATATCCAACAATTTCTCCATAGCTTCGCCTCACTTACGTCAGGTTTATCACCTGTCACTACCATATTCATACTCACAATCATTCTCTACAGAATACCTTAGTCGGAGCATATTTCCACAACCAACTTCCAACTAATTTATTTATCATCACAAAATGGAACTCCCACCCCCAAAATTTCCCCAATACAAACACACGCACAAAAAAAACATAAAGCTTTCATTTAAAAAAAAAAAAATTGAAGAAGAAGAAGAAGAAGGAATTACAAAATAATTATTAAACGCTTAAATGGTAAAATTGGCAAAGTGAATTGCTTTTGTTAGAACACCCGGAAAAAGAAAAGGGAAAACAAGAAGTCCCCACATCTCCCAAGATTGTCTACCATTCACTATTGAAGTAGTGAACTACAAAGCCACAAATAATAAGCCGTAAAGCTTCACCACAAAATCAATTGACCATCATACAGAGCCACACTATTATAATCCCCAAAGTGCCACACATTTGGTATTATGTAAACTATTTTGCTTCCTGCTTTGCGTCTATTTAGATATCATAGAACAGAACAGAAGTCCAAATTGTCCAATTACTGAAAACAAAGCACAGTATCCACACTACCCAATAAAAGGAACATTTTTATTCTTGATACATCATACACCAAAGAATTTATGCAACATGATTCATTAGTACATATCTGAATTACCTGATTACCAGCACTGGTGGGCTCCGTAAAAGAAACATCATTGAAAGGGAGCTCACCACAACGCATTTTATGCTTTTCATATTCCAATAGTGCCTGCAAATGTTAAAATAAGAAAGTGAGGCACCATACACCGTATGGGCTATTACAGTGCCATAAAAGATCGTCAGCGACAACAGTTTCGGCAAGTGAGGTTTATAAACGTCATCTTTTCAAAAAGATTCCATTTTCATTTTCTAACCCATTGAAAAGCATAGTATTTCAGTGTGGTAGCCTGCCCACAAGGTCGCCACAATCAACCCCCTCCCCCCAACGTCCCCGTTGGCCACACTTCCAACTGGGTCTGATACCATTTGTAACGACCCACTCCACCACATGGTATGAGGTCTTTTGGGGTAAAACCCAAGAACAAAACCGTGCGGGCTCAGGCCCAAAGCGGACAATATCATACCATGAGGTGGAGTGGATATACTCTCCGAAATCTAAAACAAGATTAAATCTTGAATCATGAACTTGGAACATTTCATATAATCAGTATTTTTCAAATTTTCCATTCCTTTTCTCTCTTATATTTATAATATAATGTATTAAATCACACTTATCAAGGACGTCTTTTATTTTTAAAAAACTTCCTATCTTTCTTGTTAATATTGAAATCCATAAACCTTCAAAAACTGAACAAAGGTATTAAGAGACAATATGCATGCATATAATAGTGCTAGCTATAGTTTTTGGCCATAACCCCATATCCTGTGGTGCATATCTTACGTAACGGAATCTATTATCAAATAACAACAGGGCAACAATGAAGAATAAAACCAAATCCTACCAACATAGAGGTATATAAGAAGAAAATTCAATATGAGAATTTTAAACCCAAAGGAGAGCACGAAGTAATAAATTAATTTAGCAGTTTAAGCGTAACCTTTTCATAAAAACATCGGAATGTCCATGAGACAGTAGTGCAGGTCCTGCACAAGTTTAAACATTGTGAAAAATCAGTAACTTTATTTTTTTAACAAAAATAATTAAAAAAGAAATCATCACTTTGAAACAAGTGAGAAGGGTAGGCTGTTGGAAGTTGAATAATTTTTTTACTTCTTTTGAACTATCATTATTGCAGTATTTTATTTTTCCTGCTTCAAAGAGAAGGGTGTAACAAGTAACAGCCTCTTTGGTACCATAACAGGAATACACAGCACTTCACTAACTTGTAAACCACAAAATATTAAAAAAAATCCAATGTTGTCTCCTATAGATTGGCCAAGCAAGCTCTTGTTACATGTTCTCCTAGTATGTTTCAGTAACTTAGCACCAAAGGTCTAGCCCAATGGTATAACCTCCCCATCCTCAAAGCCGAGGGGAGGGGTTCGAGCCCAGGAGTGGGCAAAATGTAAGTGCGTGTTTGTTTTACCATTTAAAAAAAAAAAAAGTTTCAGTAACTTAGCAATTATAACAGTTACTGCATAGGTAACCTTATGGCATCCAGCATATGAAGTGACACAAGAATTCAGGCTCCATAATTCTTAAGTCATGCAAACTAATCATTAAACAAAAACCATAAAGCATGAAGCTACTCCTTACTTCGGGGGTTTAAATGATTCTCCAACTTGCCGCCACAACTTGCATGAAGTTACCTACAAATGAGCAAAAAAAAAGTAAGCAATCTCATAGTACTACATATATCAAAAACCTAATTCCAAAACCATAAATCATGTTCTGAATATATATATATACACACCACTTCAACTACAGGCTACAGCTAAGTGCTTGCAGGAAGTCAATCAGTACAAGGACCCAAGAACATATATCGAAGAACAAGTTTATTAAAGATTATCAAGCACTCATTTAATATCCCATAGGACAAAAATAAGGTTTCCCTAGATTTGGCGACTGGAAGAACATAGAAAAGGCTACAAACGAACTGATCAGAGGCGACCTGAGTATTGAGCCGCTCAGGCTTGACATGATTGAAATATAAGGTACTTGAGCTCAGCTAGAGATCATATCAAGTCTAGAGCTTCATGTTCAAGCTCAGGCTCAGCAGCCATTCACCTATTTGTCAAATTCCTAATGTTGGATTTCAAATTTTGAAAAATGGAATGGATGGAAATTAAGAAACAGACAATCACGTGTTCGGAAAAATAACATCAATTGTATGAATTGTGCAAGTATAATCAGTTTTTTTTTTCTCTCCTCATAATAATTTAATATTTCTTTACATGTTACAAGCAGAATAGTGACAAAATTACAAAAGAGACAAGATAAACCATTTTGCTTCAAAGTTTGGCCTTGTTCAGGCTCAAGTAGTTTAACAAACAAGCCTTAAACTAAGTGTTGAGCTTGGTTTGTTAGGTACATAAACAAGCCCATTCTCATCAAGCCCAGGCTACTATGTACAATTAATATGTGTAGTTAATATAATATCAGAAAAATGTCAGCAGAATGAATAACACATACAAGAAATCAGGATTTCATTTTTGAAGGATGGGGTAAACAGCAAATTAATAAGAAAATAACGTAACAAAAATATTAACATCAAAGGCATATTTATTAAAAACATATAAATAAAATAATAATAGCATCATAAATATTAGTACATATACAGAACATATACAAACAAACAGTCGGCCAGACAAAAATGTGTTTCCCATGAAGATATAGGATAGTTCTCTTATATACATTTTTGTAAGTATTGTTCTATATAATGCTGTAATAATGTCTAAAGTTAAGTTTGCATCCAGTCCACCCTTCATAGCACCCTCAAGGGTATAACCAATCACTGGACAATTTATTCTTCTTGTTTTTTCTTTTTTAAGTTGTCCTATATATTGCCCATCTGCAGTTCTATACACAATAGCCACTCTTATGGAATTTTCGTGATTAAGAACAACTAATAAAATTAAATTCTCTCATCATTAAAATAAATTGGTCTCAATTCAGCTCACTTTCAGTTAAATTCACATCCCACACATCCAACATTGAATAAAAAATTTACTACTCACGCTTATATTCAGACCAGTGTGTGACATCAAAACATGATGTATATATATATATACCAGCTGAAAATTAAAACAAAGAAGAAAAAAAAAAAAAAAAAAAAAAAAAATCAGAGAACTAGCAGTAATTTAGATGACCAATTTATAATGCTGAGGCCCCTCGCCCATGAGGTCAATTAATTGACTTAATGCAGCACCAACTCAAGGTTACAGCACAAAAATAACGTGACGACTACTCAAATAGAGACCTGAAAATACATTCGAGCCATAACCTCTCCTAAACAGTGGGATAGCAGGCATGGTTTGGACCATGCAAATTTTGCTTCCAGTCGATGACTGCACTAAAGCATAATTGTACAAACAAACAAGAGAAAATAAGAGAAGAACAACTATTTTTCTGCAGTGGCAATATTACGAAATACAGCATGGGGAAAGAAGGCTGCATAGAGGGAGCATTTGTTTGAATGTAGCCCATGTCATGGACTTTAGCAGCAGCGGTGCTTGCTACTTGCAGGATGATAGAGCGATTTTTTTTTCTCCTCTCTTTCTTAATTTTCTTATTTTTGTGGTTAGACTGATAGTTTTATTTTACCTAATAAAATTTATATCAAAAAAACACATGCACTTGCATGCCTCTCTTACAACATTTGAGGAAATAATTTGGATATCCCTCTACCACATTTGAGGAAATAATGTATGTGATGACATTCTAAAAATCTTCAAAATCATATTTTACATTATAAAAGATAGCAAACCTGTTCATAGCCACCAAGTCTCACGACAGCTCTCCATAACCTAATTCAAGCAAATAAGAAGGAATCTCAGTACAAAACAGGAAGTCCCTAGACAAGAATAATATACAAAGTTCAAAGTTAGAGTCATCGAAAGTACTTGAGGCAATTTAGTGGTTCTCCATAGAACCTAGGCGGTTTAAATTCCAAACACCTCTCCTTATGGAAAGTTTCTAGCTCCTTCATGAATGCTGCTTGGTCCTCCTCAGTTCCTGACTCGTCACCAACGGCATTTGGCGCCAATAAAAATGAATTGTTTGAGCTCTTCACATGAACTAAATCTTGCTTCGGTAATTCCTCCTTTATTCCATTGTATGGTGTCAACTCCATCCCAGTCACAACATTGTTCGATTCCTCCTCCATTATTTCAGTGTCCACAGGCAACTCCATCGTAGTCATCCCATTGTTCAGTCTCTCCTCCTTGTCATTGTCTGATAAGGGCCCAACTCCTGTCACCTCATTGTTCATTTCCTCCTCCTTTGTTTCATTGTCCTGAGGCGACTCCACCTCAGTCACCACATGCTTTGATTCCTCTCTCATGTCATCCTCAGCACTAAGTGCAATAGGGGGATCCACATTTGATGTGACTTTAGCATCAACAACTACAGGAGTTTCAACCACACCTTGTTCCTCAAGCAAGTGGCCTTCTTTAGTCAATTCGGGGCAGTCATTGTTTTCTGGGTTTGGGTCATCCTTAGAGTGGATGGATCTTGCTCCTGTGCCCTCAAACTGAGGTGGTTCCTCATCTTGTGCATCCACCATTGGATGAGTTGATTCCTCATTTTCTTCCTCTGTGTCCATCATCATCGTCACACTGTTGTCAACAGCATACCGGGCATCTTTGACTGTTTCTTTGCTATCCTCCATCTTAGAATCAGTCATGATTTTTCCAAACAATAACAATATTAATTTCGCCTCCAAAATAAGGGAATTATTTTTTTGGCAAAAACCCTAAGCATCTCTATAATAACATTTGCACCAGTTAAAAGCAACTAATTAAAAAAATTAATTTAAAATTAAAAAAAAAAAAAAAAAAAAGAGTCAGATTTGCATCAAAAACTTTTTCCTTCACAGACCAATCTCTCATTTAGATGGAAAATGGTAACCAAAAAGAAAGAAAAAAAATTCGCTTTTGGAAGTCGAAACTAATGCATTCCCTGTGTAAGTAAAAAAGAATGCAGGGCATATATACATACATATGGAGAGAGAGAGCGTAAATACGAAGGAGCGTACCTGAGTCGATACAGCAACGGCTGTTTAACAAAGAAGCGCTTTGGGTGAGTTTTGAAGGGCTTCTTGTGACGAAACTCTGTTAAAGAAACAACACATTCATGTTAGTCAGCGAAACAATGATGATGAGTTACAAGGAAAGACAAGAAAAGGGTGAAAGGGAACGAGACCGATCGACAAAACCTAATAATTATGGACCGACACGAAGAACGAGTAACAGAGTAAGAGAAGAAACAAACCCTACCCTACCGACTGCCTGAAAAGGGTGAGACTGGGAACAGAGCAAGAACGAGAGAGAATTTGTTTTTTGGGAGGGTTTGGGTTTGTTCAGTTGTTGAGGTGTTAGAGAGTTTTGGCGTAAACAGAAGCTTATTTATAGCTCATCCGCAACTGACACGAGCATCTCTTCCCCGATTAGAAGACCGAGGGAATGAAGTAAGTGTAGTGTTTTGATTCAAGCCTAAATTCCACTTATATCCCCGACTTTATCAAAATTAACATCATAGCTTGTTCTCCTATCAACCTATTTTGGCATTTCATTAACTTTGGTTAGACATGAACTTGTGTTTTTACTAGTAGTTTTTTTTGGTTTACTTATTTAATATTTTTACTAAAAATTAAATTAATTTTGGTATATTGGAAGGATAAAATTATAATTTTAGTATCCTTATGGTTCACCTACCCATGTATGTCCAAGATTTTTCATGTCCAAATCCAAACTGAGATCTTGTCTGTATTTTAAAAAATCCTCCTGATCCAAATTTAACATAATATATTTTCTCCTTACATTGTCTCCCATGGGCAGAAATGAAGAAAATTTGATGAAATTGAGAGAAAGAAGGAATTTATGAGACATCACTGAGAAAAGGATAATTTATTTTCCTTCTTGTATTTGGTTGAATTTAAGAAAAATGAATAAGATTACACCCTCTTTGTTTGCTAAGAGAGATATAGGCTAGCTAATATTGAATTTAGATAATAGTTATAAATGATACTATTATATTAAAAAATTTATAACAATCTTGCTTCTCTTCCATTTATAATTGGTGGCATAATTTTGAAGCAATGCTGAATGATGGCTCATCAATAAGAATGGAAACAAAGGCAGTTTAGGGTGAGGACTGTCAACCCAACCCGTCCCCGTTTAGCAAAGCTCCCCCATCCCTAGCCAAAATCGTTTTATAAATGAGTCGAGACGGGGCACTGTGTGGGGGAGGAGACGGGTTTAAGAAAGTTTTGTAATTGCATGTATTATGAATTTAAATAATGAAATAAAATTTCAGCTATAATTCCTTCTCTCTCATGCTCACAAGATCAACATTCAAATTACAACTTGAAATTTAAATTTATTGTAGAAATCTCAAAATAATACATAAAATGTTCTCAAATAAGAATAATACATAGTAATATTAAGTGAATTGAATAGGATAACTTGAGGTTTACTTAATGCATACCCATTTTTTTAATATAAAAATAAACTTAAAGAGAAAAAATTTGTAATTTATTAATTTAAATGGGCAGGACGGGGGTGACCTTTCCTTATCCTCACCCCACCACCGCGCGGGTTTTCAATCCTAACCCCCCATCTACACTCCAAAACCATTTAACTACCCCACTCTAAACGGGGTGGGCGGGGGTGTTTTGCCATCCCTACTCATCCATCCTTTTTTTCATTCCCTTCTTATATCCTCTTTAGCAAATTAATAATAGTTTTTGTCCATTGTCCTTTATCTTACCAACGAACTAGTAATGTCGAGCCACCCTGCTTATTCGTTCCGTTAACGGCAGGAGGACTCAATAACGATTCAAACCACTTCACCCATGTAGACGTTGTGATGAGCACTGAAAAGTGCGCATTTAAACCTATTAAGCTTAAGCATTCTAGTACCTTTATCTATCTTACTTTGCCGTTTTAGACTTATTACGTGTTATTTATATTTTCAGGCACTAATCCCAAAATTGAGCTAACTCAGCCAAATAAGAGCTTAATTGAAGCAATCCTGAGATAAACCAAATGAGGGAGCAAAGTGGAGAAAGAAAGGAGCAAAAAGGAATCAAGTTATGCAGCTGAAAAGTTCGATCGATCCAAGTTAAGGTTCAATCGATCGAACATCTATGATCGATCACAGTACTTCTCGATAGATCCAACCTTGGCCTTTGCTGAAATTCCAAGTTCGATCGATCGAACATCACCTTCGATCGATCGAACCCTATTTTGTCCTATTCAAATGATTGATCTTATCCACAGCTGTACGCCTACCAACCACTTTTGTCTTTTTCCCTATAAATATCTTGAAAATATCCCAGCCTTGTCATTATCCGGAGGAGTCAGACCACTTCGATTGATCCAAGATTCAGTTCGATCGATCGAACCCATTTTCGATCGATCCAAGTTAAGGTTCGATCGATCGAACTTCCTCCAGCGAGAAAAAGTTAAAGTCCAGCTCATTTATTTCGTCCTTCATCCAATCATTGGAGAATATGTCTTGCATGACCACAGCTCATCATGGGGTGTATTTGACCTACCTATATAAGGAATATGATACACTTTTTGAGGAAGTCTCTTGTCACACATTGAAAATCATCTTGGAGGCTATTCTTGGAGAGGAAAAAGGGAGGAAGCTAGAGCAACCTTTGGAGGAGACCTTCATCATCAATGAGCAGATTTTCACCATGGATTTAGCCCTTGAGGGTTGGAGCTTCATCATCATGAGTGGCTAGACATCCTTTTGGGGCTAGAGTTAGCCCCAAGCATGCTTTCTTTACCTAATCTTGTGTAGTTTTGAGGGATTTGTGTTGTAATGCATATTTTGACTCTTGAACTTATGAAGATCTTGATTATTCATTGAGTTCTATGGATTAATGCTTCTAATTGATCATTTTCTCTATCTATATGTCTATGTATGCTAGAGTAGATGCTCACCTCTAGATTTAATGTTATTGATGCATGTCTATGTGTATTAATGCCTTTAATCTTGAGATTGTCAAAATATGAAGTTCTTAATGTAATGCTCTTGTTATGTCTCTAGATGGTTCATACTTATTTCTTGATAGATTGTGCTTCTCTTTTAAGTAGTGTAGTGTTAGTTGGGGCAACAATTCATGCTTGTTCTTTGATGTTCCATGCTTTTGAATGCAAGAAGCATATACTCTAATATTGTGGTGTAATGGAATTTTGAGCTTAATGAAGGATTAATGACTAGTTATGATATGTTGTATCTTTCACATGTGTTTAGACAATTTATTCCTCTCCCAATAGATATTTTGTACCTCTCACATGATGTTTAAATAATGCATGTTTAACTAAATCATCCTTATGGATTGCTTGGACTATGAGCTTAATGAAAGGTTCAATGACTTGAATTGTTATTTTGTTATCTTCACATGATGTTTAGACAATATATTCCTCTACCAATAGATGTATTGTGGCCTCACACATGTTGATTGAGATAATTTGCACTTGTTGAGTCACCCTTACCAATGGAATGTCTTTTACACACACAACATTGTTGCAACACATTCATTTCCCTCATTAGTCACTTGATTATGGTTTGGAATAGTATTGTTTGGTGGTGATCTCTACACCCCAAGACCTTTCCTTCTTACTTACTCTTTATCTTATTGCATTGCTTTATTATAGTTTAGCTCATTTAGTATAATCAACCAACCAATCAATTGTGTGATCACTCGACCTACTAACCCTAATTACCATAGTTTCACAATTCGATACACCATTAAATCCCTTGGGACGATCCTTACTCGCCCTATCTATATTTTATATAGAGAAAGGTAGTAGTGGCTTTCTATAAATGTAAAACTTGGCCACCTCCTAAATTCTCACATAACTTTCAAGCTTTGTTGGTTGTGGCGACTCCATCAAGGAAACCAACAAGTTTTTGGCGCCGTTGCCGGGGATTTTAAATTGGCAACGTCGAATTGTGAAATTCAATTAGGATTAGTACTCTTTTGATCGTGTCTTTACTTTCTTTTTATTTCCTGTTTTTTTTTTATTACTTATTAAGTTTGTTCTTCATTAACAAGGTGCATTGAGCAAGGAGCTAGCAAAAAACTTCAAAGCTAAGGAGCAAAGCAAGCAAAAAGGAAAAAAATGCTAAAAATGAAGAGTTGCTAAAAAAAAAAAAAAAAATTTGCTAAGCTAAGCTTTTAAACTTGGAGTTAAAGTGCTAAAGGACCATTGTGAGACCTTCTTACTCAATCTCCTTAGTTAAATCGCGGGCCCACGTGGTGGCATTGCATATCATTGAAAGCATGGGAGTATGGGAATTATTGTATATGGAGGAAATTGTTGATATTTGACTTGTTGTGAAGGAGAAGTGTTTGTTTGATTGCTTTGTTGTGATTTGTAGTCTTTACTTGATCATTCACTCTAGGCATTCACATGGAAAACCTAGATGGTAATCTTGGCTACATAGACCCGCATTTCATGCAAAACCTCCCTCCCGATCAATACGGTCTCTGAGCTCAAGCTCCAATGCCTCCAATGGTACTTCGTGACTATTATGATCTCCATGCATACCATGCACCTTCTTGTATCATGTTGCCTAATTTCGAGACAAATCAATATGAAATCAAACCCGAAACTATTCAATTATGTCTACTTTTCTATGGTCTAAATGATGAGGAGCCTTATAAGCATCTAAATGAATTCTTTGAAATATGTTCCACCATTAGATATATGAATGTTCCGGAGGAAGTGATTAGACTACTCATTTTCCCTTTCACACTCAAAAGCAAGGCAAAGCATTGGTTCAATACTTTGGAAGCAAATTCTATAACTTCTTGGATGCAAATGCAAAATGAATTTTTAAAAAAGTTTTATCCCATGAGTTTGACCAATGCTATGCGTACTTCAATTAGAACTTTTTCTCAAAAAGAAGGGGAGTTATTACATGAGGCTTGGGAAAGATTGAATGACTTGCTAGGGAAATGCCCACATCATGGCATTCCAAAATGGCAAGTGGTTCAATACTTCTATGAGAGCCTATCCGACATTCATAAAGACATTGTTGATACATCATGTGGAGGATCATATTTTGGGAAACATGAGGATGACATTTGGCAACTCTTTGAGAAGATGAGCGAAAACTCTTTACAAAAATTTTATACTTCTCAAATTGACCATGAAAGAAAAGAGAAGAAGAAAAATTCTCAAGTTTGTCAAATAGAGAGTTCAATGGGAATTGTAGCCGAGATTAAAACTCTTTCTCAAAAGTTTGACCAACTCTTGTTAAATCAAAAACTGGCTAACAATTCATATCCTCATCATCATACCTCTCAAATGTATGAGTCTTGTATGACATTTTCAAGTGTTTTGCACACTACTTTTGATTGTCCCCACGGACATGCTTATAATGAACACTATGAACAAGTCAATGCTACATTTGTTCATCCCTATTCCAATGCTTA